TTGAGGGATTCCTCGGCTTTTTCCTACTCCTCCCCTGCAGGTTAGAGATCTCTTGCGTTACTTCTTGTTGTTGGGAGATGGTCACCTACAATGAGAGAGAGAGAGAGAGAGAGAGAGAGAGAGAGAGAGAGAGAGAGAGATCCAAAATTTTAAGAACTTATGAGAACTCTGAGTGCCCTGCAGGGGTCAGGAGAGCTGTGTTCTGTGGACTCAGTGTGCACAAGTTCAGAGCTTTCCTGGTGCCACTTAAGAACTTTGGCAGACTCTGGATATCCTGAGGGACTCTGATAAGCTCTCACCTTGCTTATCCCCCTGCGCTTCTGCTGTTGCCAGTCCAAACTTTTAAGAACTTAGGAAAACTCTAAGTGGTTTGAGGACACAGGGAACTGCAAACTGAGGGCCCAGCTCAAGCAGGTGCAGAGATTTCCTGGAGCCATTTAAGAACTTTTCTGGACTCTGGGCAGCCAGTGGGACTCTATCTGGGTGATTATTGGGAGCTACAAAAATGCCAAAACACAGGAGCAAAAGGCAATATCAATTCTCTAACCCACCCAGAACAAATCCAGGAGACAAAGACACACAAGAACTTGGACATCACATACCTGAAATATCTGAAATGATAGCAACTGTAGTAAAGAAACAAGTCTGTCAGGCTATAGAAGAAATAAGAGCAGAAATAATCCCTCAGGTCCAAAAAGAAAGGACAACAATTGTGAAAGAATTGCTCAGCACAGCTAAAGAAGACATAGGAAGAAAAAATAGAGAATAGAAAATGATGGAAACACTGAATACACAATACAGAAAAGAATTAGAGGGGCTGGGGGAGATAGCTCAGTAGGATAAGTGCTTCCCTGGCAAGCACAAGGGCCTGAGTTCAATCCCTGGTTCCGAAAAAAAAGAATTAAAATACATGAAACATTCAAACAGATATCCAGGATATTAAGAAATCCATTGAAATCTGGAAAAACTGCTTGAATGAAACTGAAGTTTGACTTTCAGACTTCAGATACAGTGCTGCTGCTAATAATGTGAAATGAAAGATCTCATAAAACTAACAAGAAATCAGGAAATAACAATTCACAAGCTACAAGATGATGCAAAGAAAAATAATATATGAATGACAGGTATCAATAATGCAGTGGGAGATAACACAAATCACAAAAACACTATTTGCAGAAGTACTAGCAGAAATTTTAACAAACAAGAAAAAAGAGCCTGTCATATAGTTAAGTGAGGCATATAGAACTCCACACAGACATAATCACAATAAATCTACACCTAGATACATAATAATCAAGATCTCAAAAATTCAGCAAAAGTACAGAATATTAAAATCTGCTAGAGAGAAGAAACAGATCACCTACAATGGAAAGCCCAACGGAATCATGGCAGATTTCTTAACATGAAAGGTCAAATCCAGAAGACCTTAGAGTGAAGTATTACAGGTCCTGAAAGAAAATAACTTCCACTCAAGATTGATGTACCCTGAAAAACGATCTATCAAATTCAGTGGTGAAATAGAATCCTCTATGGCAAAGAACAATTGAAGAAACTCATGACCAACCTACGAAGAGTACTAACAGATATTCTAGAAAAAGACAGAAGTGATCACAGCTTTAAGAACAACAGAAAGGAGTCATCAAACAGAGCAAACAACTAAAAAGGAAAAAAATTATGGAGCCTATAGCAGGAAAATAACATGACAAAGATAAGTCAATATGTATCAGTTATAACCATCAATATAAATGGCTTCAGTTCATCAATCAAAAGAAACAGATTAGCAGAGTGAATTAAACAAAATCCAACATTATACTGCAGACAAGAAACACATCTAACTCAAAAGGAAATTCACAGATCAAAAGTCAAAGGATAGAAAACAATCCTTCATGCCACAAGAAATCAGAAAAAAAAAGCAGGGATAGCTATCCTGGTGGCTGACAGTACCAAAGTCAAACCAAAAATCATGCAAACAAATAACAAAGGTCACTATATACTTGTTAAGGGAAAACTGCAGGAGGAATATATAACAATAATAAATATATATGCACCCAATGTAGGACTACCCTCCTACATAAGACAAATTTTAAAAGACATGAAAAATCAAATGGGCAATATTACCATTGTAATGGGGAACTTTAACATGCCACTATCACAAAGAGATAGATCAACTAGGCAAAAAAAATCAGCAATGAAAAACAGAACTAACCCAAACTTGTGAAGAAATTGACTTGGTGTAGGCCTTTATAGACTGTTTCATCCAGCAACAACAGAATACACATTCTTCTCAGCTGCATGCTGATATTCTCCAAAATAGACCACATACTAGCACACAGAGTACTCTTAAGTAATTTCAAAGCAATTGAAATTATCCCATGCATACTATCTGATCACAGTGCAATAATCCTGGAAATTATTGACAAAAGAAACTATAAAAACACCATAAATACATGGAAATTAAATAACAACCTCCTAAACAACCAGTGGGTCACAGATAAAATTAAAGAAGAAATTAAAAAATATTTACAATCAAACGAAAATGCAGATACAACTTACCAAAACCTGTAGGATGCAATGAAATCTGTCTTAACAGGAAAATTTATAGCAGTAAATTAGCACATTAGGAAAACAGAATGAGCCCAAATAAATGATCTTATGCTGTACCTGAAGCTCCTAGAAAAAGAAGAACAAGTCAAGATGAAAGTCCATAGAAGGTAGGAAATTATAAAGATTAGAGTGCAAATTAATGAATTGGAGACTAAGAAAATAATACAAAAGAATGAGTCAGAGTTGGTTCTTTGAAAGAATAAAATTGATAAAACCTTAGGGAACCAAATAAAAAAATGGAAAGAAAAACCAAAATTCGTTTAATTGTAGTGATCCTCCTGTTTTCAGCTTCACAAACACTGGGATTACAGGCACACACCACCATGCCCAGTCTCAATTGCCATTTTAGCGTACCCGAGGGGCGGAGCTGACATGGCATGCCACTGGATTGAACCCCCTGCTCCTACCTCTGCCTAAGCAGGTGCTTTAATCTGCTGAGCTATCTGGCCAGATCTCTCTTTATCTTTGATAAAGGGTACAAACACATTCATTGGAAGAAACATAGCCTCTGTAACAAACGGTGCTGGAAAAACTGGATTTCCAGATGCAGAAGGCTAAAACCAGAAGCACCTCTATCACTATGCACAAATCTACAGTTAAAATGGATCAAAGATTTAAATATTAAAATAAAAATACTAAATCTTCTGGTGGAAAATATAGGAAGAAATCTTAAAGACACAGCAGTAGGTAGAGACCTCATAAACAAAAAGCAAACTGCATGGGAAATACTTTAAAGAATCAAGAATTAGTATGTCATCTTTTTGAAAAGTTTCTGCACTTAAGAAAATCTCCAACAGAGTAAAAAACCCACAAACTGGGGGAAAACTATACTTGACTGCCCCTCAGACAAAGGCCTTCTATCTAGAAAATACAAAAATTAAAAATATCAGGTCCCCCAAATTCAAAGACTCAATCCAAAAATGGGCATCTGAGATGAATATACACCTCTCAGCTGAAGAAATGCAAATGGAAGGTAAGTATATGAAACAATGTCCAACATCATTGTTCATTCAAGAAATGCAAATTAAAAGAACACTGAGATTCCATTTCACCCCAGAAAGAATGGCTAGAAGTCAGCCAATAACAAATGCTGGAGAGGCTGTGAAGCAAAAGGAACCCTTTTGCACTGTTGGTGGGAGTGCAGACTGGTACAACCACTATGGAAATCAGTGTGGAGATATTCCTTGAAAAGATAGGATAGGAGACATTCCAGCCACCTAGTCCCTTCCTGGGTATTTTTCAGAACTGAAAACCTCATATCACAGCGATGTATGTGCACCCATGTTTATAGCAGCACAGTTTGTCATAGCTTAATGCTGGAAACAACCCAGATGCCCGTCAACTGAAGAATGGATGAGGAAGATGTGGTGTTTTAACACAGTGCAGTATTATTCAGCTATCAAAAAGGATAAATTTGAGTCTTCTGTTGGCAAATGGAAGCAACTAGAGAACATACTCTTAAGTGAAATAAATCAGACCCACATGTGTAAACATTATACTGTCTCCTTCGTGTGAGAACCTGAAAGAGAAAAATGGAATCTTAAGGGTACAATAGTCACTTATAAAAGGGAATGAACTTATTCAAAAGGAAAGAATTACTGAATTGATGAGGACAGGAGAGGGAGCTGGGGACAGAGATTTATCTATGTATGTAAGCAGGATGGTTTGAACAACTGTATATGCATTTCTGCTGATCTATGGAAAGAAGTAGTTAATACTTTAATTTGTCTCACCTCCTTTTTTCAATTGTTTCTCCTTATTGTCTTCCTATTTTCTTATAAATTTCTGTCTTTTTTCCCTTTCTTTGAATTTTACATGCATGTGTCTGGTAATATGAATAACTGGTTAGAAGACAACACTGTGTATTACAACAAATACTGTGAAATGCATGTTACTTTGTTAAGTGAAAACCTGTATCACTTATAATTGTTTTCTGTTTTAATTTTAATTTGTTCTCTCTTTAAAAAATAAAAAATGAAAAAATTTGCATCAAAAGTATCACAAGGAATTAGATAAAAGATATTTAAGGAACTAGATAAAAATAGCAATTGAAGAAACAATGTCAGCCTCCTCAGAATTGTTAGCTTAAGACTTTAACTACTGGAAATTGTATTACTTTGGTTGTGTCATATGCTGAAGAAACTAGAAACTAATGAGACTTTTTGTATTGTGTTAGCAATAGAAAAAGGATGTCAATAATTGTCCGGACTCCCACGGGACAGCTCAGGCTCTACTGCAAAGGGGCAGTAAGTATTTGGATCCTTGACTGACATGAACTTCTCTGTTCCAAGAACTTGTAGAGAGCCTTTTGTAACTTCACAGTATCTTTCAATGTTGATTTTCCCTTGCTGTTGCCATCAGCAGGATTTTCCAAGGTTGAAACATTTATTCCAATGTAGCCAAAGTCCTCTGAAATTCCCTGATCACACAAGAATATTTGTGAAATTTTAATGTTGGTGAGATGTTTGTTGTCACTGAGTTACTTTATTGAGAACCAGTGATGACTGTTGATGCTAAGGGTTTGTAGCAGGAGTTTTGATCCCAATTGAACCCATAGTATTCAGACTTAAGGGGTATCTGGAATTCCATATTATCCCTGTAAGTCTTTTATATTAAATGCTTATATATTTATCCGTTACTATATGTACTTTTTAAAAAAATCAACTCTACTGAGAAATAGTTAGGGAATATGGAGATAAAATAAACTGCATTTATTTAAAGTTTATATAGATAGATAGATAGAGATAGATATCCTAATTTGCTTTCTGTGACCATATATTTTATGCATTTACTAAAATATTATGTAAATGAAAGCAAGAAGCATATGTGTTTTTTTTTAATTCACTGGGCTTCTCACACTCATAATCATTGAGAGATTCATTCACATTTTAGCTTGTATCAATAGATCATGTCTTTGAATTGCTAAGTAGTATCTTCATTGTATGACTATATCTAAGTCTACTTATTCATTTAATGATTGGTGGATATTTTGTTTGCAGTTTTTGACCACTACAAAAAATGTTCCTATGGACCTTTGTAGGTCTTTTTATGGACATTTATTTTTATTTCTCTTGGGTATGTGTCTAGGGTTGAAATGACTGTGTCGTATAAAAGATGTATGTTTACCTTGTAAATAAATCATCAAATGGTGATTACATTCCTACCAACTATCCTGTGAACCCTTGGAATGGCTGGTCTTTTTATTTTTAGCCATTCTTATCATTATGTATTTCACTGTTGCATTTATGTATATTTTCACATTGTATTATTCTTTTTATGTGCTTGCTTTCCGAGTTGGTGGTCCCCAAGATGATGGGGATACAAACTTATATTTGTATATTCATGAGAAAGATTTATGAGTTTTGACTATCACTGTCCTCATAGCCAAGCTTTAGCAGAGTAACCCAGTGAGCATCCACAGCCAGTTCATAAATGAAAACGACATAGGCAGAGTAGTAATGGAGGTCACAAAGGAGAATTTCTATTAGTTTAGTGTGTAGATACCAGCCAAAAGCCTGTGCATTTACTAAAATATTATGTAAATGAAAGCAAGAAGCATATGTGTTTTTTTAATTCACTGGACTTCTCACACTCATAATCATTGTGAGCTTCATTCACGTTTTAGCTTGTATCAGTAGATCATGTCTACTGATTTGCAGTTGGATCTTTCTAAGTATATTAGTCTCCAGCCTGCTCTGTTAACCCTTCCTTGCACACTATCTATTCACTCCTTTGATGAAAAGCTTAATTCTTGTATTTGTTTTTTTGGTGGTACCAGGGATTGAACTCAGGACCTTGTGCTTGCTAGGCAGGGACTTATTCCACTAAGCTATCTCCCCAGCTCCCATTAATGCTTAATTCTTAAATATTTGCCCCTTTGTATTTTGAAAGGTTTGGAGTCAAATTAAAGGAAGGAACAGGGATTTTACATATAGTCCTTCCTCATACCACATAGCTTCTCTCATTATTAACAGCCTCTGCTAGGAGAGTGTATTTTTTACAGTTGATGAACCTACATTAACTACTCATATTCACCAAATTCCAATAGTTTAAAATGGGGTTCAAGTCTTTTTTTTTTTGTCTTTTTGAGACAGGGTCTCACTGTATAGTTCAGGCTGGCTTTGAGCTTACTTTGCAGCCCAGGATGATCTTGAACTCTCAATGATCCTCCTGCTTCAGCCTCCTGAGTGCTGAGATTACAGGTGTGTGCCACCACTCTTGGCTGGGGTTCACTCTTAATGTGTGTCCTAGGGCTTTTGTCAAATGTAGAATGATGTGTACTCACCATTAGAGTATACATTTTCATTTTCTTATAAATCCTCTTATGCTCCACGTATTCATGCCTTCTCTCCTTGGCAACTACTATGTGTCTTCTGCAAATATTTCCTCCAAGATTATATCTTGTCTTCTTATACTCTATGACCTTATAATGATCATAGATTTGCTTTTTCCAAAAGATTAGACTTGGAATCATACCGCATGGAGCCTTTCCATATTGAATTCCTTCACTTAACAATATGCAGTTAAGTTTTCTTCATGTATGGCTTTATGGCTGCTGTGTAGCCCTAGTTAATACTACATTATGTACAGTTATGTACCTACTGAAGGAATTCTTTGGAGTGTCCAAATTTTGACAGTGAGGAATAAAGCCATTATATAACCAAATGTATGCATTTTTGTGTAGATATATATTTTTAACTCATTTGGGTAAATACTAAGGTTGTATATTTCTTCCTGTAAGAGGTTTGGCAGATTATGCCTTTTAAGGAACAGATACATTTTATCTAGGCTACTAAATTTGCAAGCATAGAAATAAATATTGGCAATTCTTATTGTCAGTTTTTTTTCCTGATTAGGCTTTCCAGTTCTGAGTTACTGAACTTCTCAAAGTACTTGTTTTTAGCGTTACTGAATTTTCTTGAATGTTTCTCTACTTTTCATTTCATTAAAGTATTATTTTTGTTGTTTTCCCTACTTTGCTTTCATTTGCTCTTCATTTTCTAGTTTCCTAGGATGGAACTTGGTTTGAGGCTCTTCTAACATGAATGCTTAGTGCTGCACATATTCTAACTCTTACTTGAATAGCATTTCAACATATTGCATTTACATATTCATTAAACTTAAAATATTCTAATTTTTCTTTTGATTTCATCTTTGATCCATGCATTATTCTGAAGTATGGTTTTTAATCTTCAAATATTTGAAAACTTCCTGGAGATATTTTTCTTAGATTCATCTATAATTTAATTCCATTGCAATCAGAGAACATAGTTGGCGTGATTTAAGTTGTTTAAATTTTATTGAGCTGTGTGTGGTGACACATGCCTGTAATTCTAGCACTGAGAAGGCTGAGGCAAGATCACTGTCTATATTAATGTCAGACAGCATATATTTAAGAGAAAAAATATTAGGATGGGTAATTAATCATTTTACAAAGACAAAGAAATAAATTCATTAAGAGGAGATAATCCTAATATTTATGTACCCAATAAGAAAGCATCATGCCCTTCCTGTCCCTCTCTCGGACAGGAGCTTTCTTTCCCTCAATAAATATGTTCTGCTCATAAAAAAAGAAAGCATCAAATTACACTATATAGTGTGAACTACAGAGTGAGTTCAGGGCCACCCAGAGCTGCATAGTGAGACCTTGTCTCAAAAACAAACAAAACAATGGTATTGAGACTTATTTTATTGCTCAGACTATGATTTATTTTGTTAAATGTTTGATGTACACTTTAAAAGAATAGGTACTATGCAATTTGGTTTGTAATACTTTATGACTGCTGCTGAGGACAAGTTGATTATTACAATCGTCTACATATTTAATGTTTTTTTCTATGAATTAATTGAAAGGGAGATTATAAAAGTCTCTAACAATAATCATAAACTCGTGTCGTACAATTCTGTCAGACTTGATCTTTTATTAAAATTTTATTTATTTGGTACAGGGTCTCACTATGCAGCTCAAACTTGAAGCTATCCTCCTGCTTTCAGCTTCCCCAGCACTGGGATTAAAGGTGTGTGCCACCAAGCCTGGTCTGGCTCTGCATGGCCGGGACTGGGGCGAGGCGGGCACGGTGTGTGGTACTGGGATTGAATCGGGATCCTTGGGCTTCCCTAGAGCAGGCGCTTAGACTGCTGAGCTATCTCTGTAGCCCTAGATTTAGTCTTTGTAGTTAGATGCTCTCTTATTAGGTACACAAACAATAGGATACTTATGAATTTATTAATGAGTTTATTTCTTTGCCATTGCAAAGTGATCTATTACCCTTGCTAATGTTTTTTCTCTCTTAAATATATGTTGTTTGCTTTGATTAGTATTAGTATGGTTTATCTCTCTATTTCTTCTTAACCCATTTATGTTTCTTTTATGGAGCACATAGTTGATTGCTATGGTTTTTATACATTTAGAGTTCTTTGCCTTTCAATTGAGGTGTTTAGATTTTGTAAACTGCACGGTTTTTTGATAGATGAAGTTTAAATATATCATCTTAAATTCATTTTCTATTTCATCCATCTGTTCTTCCCCTTATGATGTTGCCTAAACATTTATTTTCACAGGCCAGGGAGATAGCTCAGTGGAATAAGTGTTTGCCTGGCAAGCGCAAGGTTCTGAGTTTGATCCTTAGTACCGCAAAAAAAATGTTTTCACAATTTATCTCCTTTGTTGTTTAAAATTTTAGTAGTTTATACTGGGCATGTAAAATTATTATATTTTACCTTAAAATGATGTATACTACTTCAAGTATAGTATGAAAACATTATAATATGTACTTCCATGTCTTTATTCCCAATCTTTTCATGATTATGGCTAGACATTTTAATTTAACACTTGTTGTACACCTCACACAATACTTTTAGTCATTTTTTAAAAGTCTTTTAAGAATAATTCAGTAACAAGAAAAATACACTGCATGCACTATTCTTATTCGGTCTATTGATGTCAGATACTCCCTCACACACCTCTTCCTTCTGCTTTTGAAAATATCTTAGCATAGTTTTTCGCATGATCATGTACAGTGCTTCCAGTTCTAATAAATAAGTCAATAAAACATTTACTACTTTAGTACATACTTGTAATGAAATATTTTCTGTTTGATAAAAGTTTTCTTTCAAAATATGAGGAAGCAAAATATTTTTTGCTTGCTTTTATCGATTTTAAAACAGCATGGAAATAACTGTGAATTTCTAAACTACCTGAAATAATTAACAAGAAGTGCAAGTTGAGCCAAGGAGATAGCTCAGTGGCATAAGTACCTGCCTGGCAAGCTCAAGGTCCAGAGTTCAATCTCTGAGACTACCCCCCCAAAGAAAAAAAAAAGAAAAGCCAACCAGGACTAAAGAAGTGAAAGTTAAGCTTTTCTCTCTATACTTGGTTTTTTTTTTAATTAGTGCTTTTTATCTTGGATTATATGCGCAAAGGACCCCTTTGTCTAGAGCTGCCTAGCTGCTTCTTGAGGCTTAGAAAGCTGAATTGCACTCAAATCATCATTTAAAACGTGACATTTGACTCTTCTGATTATTTCTGCCAGGTGTGGTATTTCATAGATTTTAGAAATTTCTTTGATAATTTGAGGTTATAAAACAATAAGGACTTTTTTCTCCAACATGTTTTATGTTCAGTGAATGAATTTAGTTTTAACTAAAATGACTAAGCAGATTCATACTTTAAAGCTTATTTCTCAACTTATTCTGGAGTTGCATTGTACTCTGGCTGCTCAAACCGCCTCACACCAGTTACACATAACAGTGAAATTACAAAGCAGCATTTGCAATTCTAACTCAAAGGCTCCTGTGTAGTATACAGAAACATGTCATATGTTAATCACAGGGAAATTTTTTTTTATAGGATACAGTGATTTATGAGCGACTTTCAAAAGATTCTCTGTTCATGGAGGAGACATTAACCCATCTGAAACTTTTTGCCACAGAAGGTGAGAAAAAGTTGTTGGCAGTCCATTTTCATTGGAAGTGCTAATGTTAAAATTATGTCCTGAATATACATCGCTAGTGCTTTAGGGGTACAATAGTGAGGACAGTGTATGTGTGCGTGTGTGCGTGCGTGTGTGTGTGTGTGTGTGTGTGTGTGTGTGTGGCTTCATAATGTATTCATCTTGCTTAAGACTTCTCAAAGAAACCATGTTGAGACACTATTTACCTTTGTTTCCCCATTTAGCACTTCTGTATCTATATGCAAACAGTAGAATATGTGCTTTTACTGTGTGTCCCATCTCTGGCTCATCACTGTCTGCTTTTCTATGCTTTTACCCAGTTGTATTAGGAATTTGGAGAGAAACACAGGCTTTTTCCAGTATGTGCTGTGCATTTTGAAGTTGATTAGTTCATACATATAACTAAACATTGACATAGTTGACATTTTCCTGTTTTCCTTCGAATGTTGGAATGACAATTTAAAAGTTATAGCTAAACACTAAGTTCAAGGATAGGCCAAATGAAGCAGTCTGTTCTCATAATTAGAGTAACAATTAGCTTTGGCATTCCAGGACCACTTGCAACTTGTAAGATAAGTGTAACTCAGCTGAATAGTGCTTCTCACTGTTAGCTTGTTTTAAGGCTTTATCACTAGAAATTGAACAACTTGGTCTAAGACAATGATTGATTCTTCCTGCTCACTCCAGCCTTTGAATTCTCTGAAAGAGATTTCCACTTAACTTGCTCAGAGTAAAACTGCCTGACACTGTATGACCAAATGTATGCAACCACATAGGAAATATCCTGTTATTCACCCTTCGTACCTCCTTCTAACAACCCAGATAAGTGACTGTATAACCCCAAGATGGGGATGATGATTTGGAATTGAGATTCCCATTAGCCTGCTAGCCTAATAAAGCCACGTGTCTTCCAAAGTCCTGTGATACTGTGTCTTCTGTCTGGTCTGTTCCTGCTTCTACAACAGTGTTAGCATCTGTTTCTTAAGGAAATATAATTCCATGAGTGAGTTTAACACGGGGACAACATTCAATGAAAGTCTAGCACAAGCTTTGAAGAGTAGGGCGTGACATCACATAACAGTACAGCTACTAGTATTCTTTCTTAAAATCAGATTTTATTGGAACATTTGAGACATACATAATGAATGCATTTATTATAGAGAATTTATATTAGTATATGATGTAACTTGATTCTTTTTTTATATTACTTGCTGGTAATATTCTGAAAGCTGTACTAATTTTCTCTTAGTTTTGAAGCTGTTATTTCATACAAAGCGGTGTGCTCCAGCCTGAAAGTATGAACATGTTTTGTAAGGTTCTACATTAGGCCTTTTACTATTATCTGAAATATTAGTGTTGGGACAGGGATGTAGCTCAGAGGCACAGAACCTGCCTCACACGTATGAGGTCCTGAGTTTGATTCTTGGTTCCAAGGATAGGATAGAATGGGACAGGATGGGATGGGATGGGATGGGACGGGACGGGACGGGACGGGACGGGACGGGATGGGATGGGATGGGATGGGATGGGATGGGATGGGATGGAATGGAATAAAATATTGTTAGCCTAAAATATTAAAGTATGGTTTTCAAATGTTTTCTAAACATGTCCTCACAAAATAGAACTTAAATTAACATTCTGTTGCTTTAGAGCTCTGGCAGTGACTAAGGCACTATCCTGCATCAATTCATTTGCTCATTCAGTCAACGGTTGTTGGACATCTGTGAAGTGCCCTCTATTGTTCTAGGCCTTTAGGACAGAAGTGAATGAAATGTAGAAGAAAGCTCAAACCCTTAAGGAATTTGAACATCAGTAGACAATGGCAGATGGCACTAAGTGCAAGGAAGCAAAACAGCAGGAAGAGAGAGCAGGGCATGATGCAGACCTCTGGCTGTACGTTCAGTTAGGCAGAGGCTGAAGGAAGGGGACAGAGGGAGGACCTGTGGCTACCCCAAGGAGAAGGAGGCCCAAGGCGAGGAAGGTTGATAAAGTGGGAGAGTCTAGAAGTGAGAAGACAGCAGGGAGGCCACAGCAGGCAAGGATGGACAGAGAGGAGTGGGCCAGGGAGCCCGGCAGACTGTATAGGGCAGGCCCCAGCTCACTAAAGTGCTTGTGCTTTTCTTTTCAAGAGCTCCACTTGTTGGACAGTGATCATGTTGTTTCTTGCAGGCCTGAGAACTCTGTGTGTGGCCTATGCTGACTTATCTGAAGAACAGTATCAACACTGGCTGATGGACTATAAGAGCGCTAGTATAGTTTTACAGAATAGAATTCAAAGACTGGAGGAGTGCTATGATACCATTGAGAAGGTAATATCGCTAATGTGTACTCCACCAGGATAATTATATGCTTCAAAGCCATTTGTCTGTGTTTTCATAGCTTGATGTAATTTTTAAAATGTATTCATTTTTTAAAAAGTTTGAGACAAGTTCTCATTAAATTGCTCAGTTTGGGCTCAAACTTTAACCCTCCTGCCTCAGCCTCTCAGAATATTAATGTCATTACTTCTTTTTTTTTTCAAGCCATGACCATTTAATTCAGATCACAGAACTTGACGTGCACACCTAGCATATGACCTTCTTATAGTATTTAACTGCAAATAAAGTTTCTTTTCAGGGCATTTGTGAAACTAAGTTGGAATTATCTAAATAAATGAACTTCTAATGCCATTCTTAAAATATTATAAATAGACTATATTGAGAATAAACTTAAACATTACTTTTTTTTAGGACTAATGATAAATGATGAGGTAGAATAGCTTCAGCAGATTTCCTAGCTCTAGACCCCTAAATTAAGTTTGCACTGACTTTAAATACTGGTGGCTTTTTAGGAATGAGAGATTCGTGTTGCTGAGTACCCACTCTTCAATACAAAGACTTAAACTTACTTTTTCAAATCATTCAATCTCACTAACATGTAAGCCCTTAGCAGACCCCTAATAAAAGACCAATTTTTAAAATTTGGCCATTTTAATGTTTTGGTAATTTAATAAATAGTTTTCTTGATGAATGTAGTCATGAGAGTTGTTCAGCAGTATTCAAGTTATGGTTTTCCTGGTTGGTCTGTAGTCTTCAATAAGAGAAGTGACTGCATGAGACATCTGTCAGACTAGTAAGACTGCACTGATGCACCCATCATTTTCAGGATTGTTGGTTACTGGGCATACTTACCCCAGATAACCTTGCCTTCTTGTGTCACAAGGCCCAACTTGCTCACGTTCACCTCAATCACTGTTCCTTTGGTAATAACACACAAAGTTGTACACAATGGCAATGAAGGATGCTTTTTCACATCAAGTATTGGCAGGCAAAAGGTGGCTTTCAGTTCAGGATGTGTTACGTGGGCCTTATTAAAATGGAAGTCCATTAGTCTGATGAATCTTTCATATTTAGGTGATTTTCTTGTAAAGCCATCTCCAACAAAGCAGACTTTTGTAATCACCTTCTTCCATGCCTTCTTTTTTCTCTTTCCAGTTTGAATAATTTTTAATACTTCCATTTCTCCTTGGGCATGAACTTTGGGTAGAGGAACTTCCCATTCTCCTGCCTTTTCTTTTTGTTTTTGTTTAATCATGTTGGAAAGTACTTTTGCACGAGACTGTCCTTCTCTCTCCAGCAGGTAGGCAGGTACCTCATGGAGTCTTCATCATTCTTTTGTTTGGTGTTTCTCTTTTCATGCATTTTGACAGTCTTCTTCATTTGTACTTTCTCCACGTGGCACTGTTTGTAGTAGACCTTTTAGTGTAAAACAAAATTGTATCTCTGAAGGAAAAAGAACTCACAAATTTCACCATTTAAAGTAATGACATTGCTTTTTTTCCCCTGTTACTTGCTGCATGGAGGCAGCTCGTGCATCTGGGACACTCCAAAGTTAAGATTTTTATATATGGAGAGAGAGAGAGAGAGAGAGAGAGTGCTGTGTTTGTCATATTCCATCATATATACCTAACATGGATATACACAAGTTTTTCCTGTGGTGATTAGCCTATGCCATGTCTACTGCTTGAATCATAATTTTTATGTAATAAATTGGCATTATTTTCCATATCACTGATTATTCCAACATGCTGTTCTGCTTGATTTATTATTCCAGTGTGTTAGAGTATGAGGATTTCCTTTTACTGTGCTGTACTGTCTGATGGTTTCTTTTCTCCAGGGTAATCTCTTGGGCCCTGTATTGGGCAGTGTAGCTCAAAGTTGTTATGGATTTGCTTCAGCTGTGGCCTCAGGAGTTTGGTAGATTTTGGGATAATCTTTGTCTTATTTTCCTAGCGGCAGATTTATTTGTTCTTTGGTCCCATGCATGAACTCTGAACTTGACTCTGGTGGAAGTTAGACCAGAATAGATGTAAACTGGAGATTTTCTTGATGTTTTGGGTCCGTCTTTTTTGCTCAGCCTTGTATCTGTAGGGCTGGTATCTAATCTGGCTTCAGCCAGGGCTATGGATACTGTACATTGTGCCTTGTAGGTACTTGTTCAGCATCTGCTAACAAATCACAGTGCTGGGACAAACTGAATGTGCAGTCCACCTCTTCCTTGCACTTCCATTTTGGAGCCTCCTGTGGCACATTCCCACTGGAACCACAGGCCATCCATTCCTCCCACATGCTGAGAAGAAATCCAAACAACTTAAAGTGGTCTTCTGGAACTTGAAGAAATACAAGTACTGCTGAGGCAGATGTGTTTCAATTAACCCAGTATATTTTATTTCTTACAAATCTATATTGTAGTATGTATTGGTGTTTATTTACTTGTCAATTCTGAACAATATTCCATGGTATGGATAATAAATTTGTCTCATCCATTTACTTAATCATGGACTTCTGAATTCCACTTTAATCCTGAAGAATTCTGCTATGGGCAATCATTTGCAAGTTTTCACTTGGTTACATCCTCTTATTTACCTTAGATGTGTGCCTAGGAGCAGAATTGCTGGGTCATGTGGTAAAAGTGGTTACACTATTCTGCAGTCTCCCTTCTAGTGTATAAAGCTTCCAACTTTCCCCCATTGTTATCAGTATGTGTCACTCTCCTTGATTATAATCATCCAGTGGCTATGGAATTGTATCTTATTAATTTGTATTTCTTTAATGATTAATAATATTGAGCATTTTTTCACATGTTTATTGGATGTATATCTTTTTTTGAGAAATGTTTATTTAAATCATTTATTTTTGGAGCAGTTTTAGGCTAATAGAAAAATGAAGCAGAAAGTATAAGGTTCACCGATACCCCATTTTCTCCTTTGTCTAATTTCCCTATTAGTTACATTGCACTAGTCTAGTCCACTTGTTATAACTGAAGAATCCATACTGATACATTGCTATTAACTAATGCAGTTCATGATAGAATTCATTATGTTGTAAAATTCATATCACTTATCTGTTCTTCACTACCATGTAGAATCAGGATGGCTTCACTGTCTTACAGATTCTCTATGCTTTGCCTCCTTATCCCTCTATCTGAATCCCTGTCAACCATTGTATCCTTGCTCATGTAGTTGGAATTTCACAGTATATAACCTTTCAGACTGGCTTCTTTCACTTAGTAATGTGCTAGTTAGTAATATGTTCTTTTGTGACTTCATAGTCATTGCTTGACCCTCTTTCTCTTATGGTACATTTCCTTGATTATTGCAACTTTGTAGCAAAACTTGAGGTCAGGTAGTGTCTGTCTTTCATATTTGTCTTTCAGCATTTTCTTGGCTAATGTGAGTCTTGAAAATTTCCATATAAACTTTAGCATCACTTTGTTGAGATTCATAAAATGATTTGCTGGGGTTATCCTGATTTATTTATGATCTACTTCATTTTTTAAAATTATTTTTACTCTTTGTTTTTTCATTTCCAGAAGTTTCTATGGACACATCTTTAGGCTCTCTAGTCTTTTACCTGCAGTGAAATCCAAACAACTCCTGAGCCCCTCAAAGGCATTCTTCATTTCTCTTATGGTATACTTTATTTCTAAAATTCCCTTGTGATTCTTTCTTAGAGCTTCTGTTTTCTGCTTATAATATCTTTTAGTATTTGCATTATATTAATTATAGCCATTAAACCCTTTAGCACATTAATCCTAGTTGTGTTAATTTCTGGTCTGATAATTCCAAAATCTCTGTCAAACCTAAGCCTATTTCTGATGTTTGATCTGTTTTTCAGGCTATAATTTTTGCTTTTAGCTGCCTTGTAATTTTTCATTACAAGTTAGAGGTGATATACTGGGTAGGAGTGAAATAAATAGGTCTTTAGTGAAAGGTTTTATGTTTATCTGGCTGGAAATAAGGCTACTTTTATTGTTGTGGAAGCTGTGGCAACCGAGCTAAAGTTTCAACTAGTGTGCTTATTTTTGTCCTCTCTGTTGTTCAGGCTCTCCTGGAGACTCCTTTTTAGTGTCCGAGACTTTCCCTTCTTTCTTCTTCAAACTCCTATTTTTTACAGAGGGACCTGAAGGCTGTGATGGAAAAGAGTTGGGGACAGGAAGTGTTCTGTTGTCCCATGATTACATCTGACTGGGTTAGTAAGTCTGAGCTGCCTGTTTCCCTTTCTTTTCATCAAAAGCCACAAGGTGCTGGAGACAGAACCTTGTCTCTCCGGAAATTGGCTGGCACCACTAAACCCAAGTCAATAAGGCTTGGCTGGTAATAGTTTTTCCTGCGCTTAGCCTTTGTGAGACCATAATAACTGCGTATATTTCAGAATGGTTCCTTTTACTCTCTTTCTGTCATAAGTGGGAGGGAGTTCTCTGCTCTTCACAGCGAGAACCCTGTGGGACTCCTGGAAGTAGACTGAGTCAGTGCGTGGGAGACCCTTCAAAACTGGGTACCCCACACTTTTCAGCTCTCAAGCTAGTTCCCCCCATGCCTCTGGCAGTTCATCAGTTATAGTCCAGTCTTGCACCTCTTCAGCAAGAGCCCTCTATTCCCCAGTTTTGGATCTAGTAAGATGCAACTTTCAGCATCTGTCTCTCTGCCCAGTTGTGAGGACAGTAGCTGGCCTGTGCCCCCAATTTCTAAAAGGCCTAAATAGAGTGATTGAGTTTAGCTTGTTTAGGTTTTGTGAGTATTGGGATGACTATTAATAAGCCCTTACTTGTCAAATCAAAAATAATGATTTTTCCACTTTACAATCAGTCCTTTTTTATTGTTGATTTATAATTGTTCTTCAGATGGATATAAGTTCCTTGTTAGACACATAACTTACAAATATTTTGTTTCATTAAAAAAAGGAACTTTTGGAAATACTGAGAATTAAACCCAGGACACTTAGGGGGGTTGGAGATGGCTCAGTGGAATAAGCGCTTCCCTGGCAAGCGC